TCATTTCATTAACGATGGAGACCATTGGGGCCAAGTCAGTTCAACTTAAAAACTAGGTTATAGGTCTAATGACTCTGATAATCAGATAATTACTATTGGGAACAGCATGATTCCTAGTTAACTATATCGTAATTATCAAAGAGAGTGTGGTGATTTTCAGGGTCTCTAGGTATTTGCATTTTTGAAGAATACCTGACATTGTGAGAGAGGTATATAAGTTGTATAATAGATAGATGTAGTCTGCGAACACTCAGATGCAGAATATAAATATCAAAGTGCCTCCCAAGTTTTTAGACATTATCAAGAAATGGAGAAGAGACCTCAACAATATAATATTGTCTTTACAATTCTATTCTACCTACTTTACTTCGCTCTTAGTAGTCATAAATAAAACAAGTATAATTTGTGCCTTCCTAGACAATCTCCGTCTACAAAAATGAATCCCAGTTGGCCTAGACAACTCTGAAGTCTATTAGGTTATCTCCACTTAACAGGATCTTATCCCTCCACCTCAGGCTACTAGTGGCCTAGTCCTTTCACTCACTACTCCATCCTCAATCTAAGCTCGAAAGGTGGAAAGCTTTTCTTATTTATTTTTCTTTGTGTTAGGTTTCTTTGTATTTAGCTTAAGTGTTTCCCTTTATAGTTAGTGTTATGTGTCTTGTAATTAGTTGATTGCGATAGTTAGAGGCACTAGTGTAGTTTCCATAGTTTGAGTTTGTTTTACCATTACTCTTTTGTTTATGCCATCGCTTATACTGTATGCAAGTTCTTATACCTTAACAATGAATACATGATGATAAAAAAACAAAAACAAAAGGAACTCCGGTACAGACTCCTCATACAACCACTTAATTTCTTTTGTATACTATAAGTTGAATCCATCGTTTATCCACATCTTTGATAAGTGCTACATGAGAAAGAAATCTCGCTTACAAGAGATACTGTGAGTACAAGATGATCATCGTTATCAGAAGTGATAGTGACGATAAGAGTTCTCTGAGCTATCGAGATATCAAGAGAATGGAAGTGTAAGGTCATTACCTGTTGAAGAACTAAGTAAGAAGAAGTATGATTATTACAGTGCACCTTAAACTCAAGATACTTAATTGCCTTGTTGATCGTAGTTCATCCAACCTTAACATTTAAACCATGGAGTTACTCAGTCAGATCATCAAGATATGCACGAGCATTACTTTCCACAGTCTGTTTAATTACTTCTAAGTTCTTTTTAGAAAGTAATATAGGTCTTTCAGATTGAGGCATATCTTCAATTAGGTTGGTGTTGTTATATCTTTTCACAATTCCTTAAACTGTACAGACCAGTACTCCTATCTTCTTTAATATTTACTTATATCCCCAGCCAACATAAGTTAAGACAATAATCTCATGCTCTTGAATGGTCTTTTTAGTATGTTTCTGAAAGTGTAACTGGGTATACAGTGGTGCTATTGGTTTGGAGTATGTTTGTAGAAGTACTGCTTGTATGTAAGTGGGATAAAGACTTAAATGATGTAGAATTATAATTATCATAGTTTTCTACTATGTTACACTACATCATAATACATTAACTAAAGCTAATCCAAGTATTAGTACAAATTGGAGTATGAGAACTTTGCAAATACAGCTGTACAGGGTTACTCGAATACCTTTTATAACATGTTCGCAAGATGCTAATCATGTTATCAGTAAAATGTACAATAGTTGACAGGTGGCTTGCTCTACCAGAGAGGAGATGAGAGCAGTGAACTAAAGGAGGCTTCAATAGTATACTGGGAAAACTAAAGAGTAACTGTTCAACCAAGTATATTGAAATACTGTCTGTTGAAATCTCCTCTTCCATCGTGGAATCAGGTGGTCTTCAGATACACAAATCTGTGCATGTCTAGTATGAATAAACTAATCAAAGGTATTAAGCGATACACTTTGGTAAAACCACTTTAGGTATCAAAGCAATACTTAAAACAAAATATAAAACAAAACCAAGTATCAAATAATACTTCAAACACAAAACAAAATCCTTAACCAAGTACTTGTACCAGTTACAATTGTGCTATTTCACCTTTGGGTATTGTTCTGGATTCCTGTAACTTAAATTATAAAGTACCGCAAATCAAGTAGACATTAAGCGTAAGAAGAAAAGATCTTATGTGAGAGTAGCAATCAAGAGAAATACTATTAGGAATACCGGAATCTGATACCTAGGAACCACCCTAAGTAGGATAACCCCACTTGGAATTGGAATCTCTGGTCTCCAACACCCCCCTCCAGCCCTCTTATAGGGCCTGCACATTATTATACATATCTATCTCAATTGCGTCCTGTGACTATGTAGCTACAGAATTAAAAGGTATCAGATTAACACTGTTTACGTTACTGCAGTCTATCCAACTGGATCCTGTTCACAGGTTATATGAGAGGGGACCTTCGGCTAGGTCTGGGAAGTAGAATACAGTAAATCCGTCAACTATGCAGAAGGTTATTAAAATTTAAAGATGTGACTTCTTTGGCATGGGCCAAAGGTAATGGAACATTTTTGCATGAAGAAATGGTATCGAATAGTAAAGGATCTCAACAAGAAACCAATTCATTCGCACCAACCCTACAATAACTAAAAGAGTCTAGAGTTCTGAGAAACACTACCACAGAAGCCAATGGACTTCGCAAAGTGTTACAACTGGGTCCAGGAATGTACTGTGGTTGCAGGAATGGTTTCCAATACAAGAATGGCGATTGAAACCCTGTTATGCAGAGCAACCAAAGATTGCCAAGTGCAGAATTATCTGTCAATCCAGTAGAATAGCTTCTTGCAAATTAGTAGGAAGTCCTCTAGAAGATATATGTTAGTTGGATATGGAGTTATGGAGATTTGAAGTCAGGTGACCTAGGAAGGTTACAATTACGACTTCCTCCTCAGATATAACCCGCAGATGAAACTGATCATTTCATCAATAATGGAGACAATTAGGGCCAACTCAGTTCAACCTGAGAACTGGGCTATAAGTCTAAAGACTCTGATGATTGGATAATTACTATTGGGAACAGTATAGTTCCTAGTTAGTAATATCATAATTACTAAAAAGGGTGTGGTAATTTTCAGGGTCTCCAGGTGTTCGCACCTTTGGAAAATACCCGACGTTGCGAGTTATAATTAGAGAGGTATGTAGTTGTATAATAGATAGATGTAGTCCATGAATACTCAGACACTGAATATAAATATTGAAGTGCCTCTCAAGCTTTTAGACATCATCAAGCAACTGAGAAGAGACCTTAACAATATAATATTGTTCTTATGATTCTATCCTACTGTACCTACTTTACTTCACTCTTAGTAGTCATAAATAAAACGAGTGTAATTTGAGCCTTCCTAGACAATCTCCATCTATAGAAATGAATCTTAGTTGGTCCAGACAACTTTGAATTCTATCAGGTTGTCTCCGCCTAAAAAACCCTAAGGCTGGGCAACTATACTTAAGTATATATGTTATGTATATGAAAAATACAAGGTAGAAAAAGTACCCAAAGTAGTGTAACTATATTCTAACTTGAGAAATCTTTTAGCCAACACCTCACTCTGGTCTCCTGACAGGACCCATACTTTATTAACATAGATCTACTACTAGAAAGTTACATTCCATGACTATTATATTACAAAATGGAAGACTACTTCATAATACTATATACTTTACTGCTGTCTATCTATCTGAAACCTGCTCACATAATATATCAGAAAAGGACCTTTGGCAATGTCTGGGGAGTAGAATGGAGAAAATCTGTGAAGTACTGGAACTGTAAACTAAAAGTAACAGGACACAATTGTACCAAACTACAGGCATAGTAGTGGAATTCAATGAGGAGGAGAATTACAAATGCACCCATTACTAATGGCGCCAAAGGGTACTCCAACCGCACTAAGGGATAATTACAATCTCTTATATGGTGGAAGCCGTCTAAACCGTGGACCACTGTCGTTTCAAAATGTAATGCCTTATGTAATCAGGGTTTGGGTTATTTTGCCTCAACTTTAAATTTTTTTGCTTGATCGACAGCAGTATTATACATATCATAGTGGTAGTGGTAAGAATTGAGAGAGGGAGGGTAGATATCCGGGAGAACAGAAGGTGTCCAGGAATGCCCTAAAGAAGCAGTTGGGAGGGAAGAATGCTCGGAATGCCCATATTCCCTCTTCCGCAGCAGGGTGATAGTTGGAGCAGGTGACTGAGTGATTTGTGGTGATAGAGTACTTTTTGAGTGGATAAGATCCGTGCCGCGAGCTAAGTTAGAGAATTCTGAAGAGTTCATCACCCGCTGCCAGAAATTCCCTCGTCCAGACCGCCAAACTTGCTGTCAAGGGTTCCGCGAATTATTCAACTACTCCCCAGAACACGAGGCCTGCCCGCCGGGCAAAGCTACCCGCGACAACACGGAAATAGCTCTGGTGCGGCGGGCTTAAAAATAGGATAACTTGTTTGATAGTTGCCGCTCGTAGGTTGAATGCCCCTAAAGCCACTGTCTCTAGAAGTGTTTGGAGGAATCGGGAGGTATGGGTAATCACATCACATCGAGTAAGCCGTGGTGAAGTAGTTGATTGTGCCTGGGTAAAGGTCAGGTACGGTACAGACTTTCCGTTTTGGCAGTGCCTTAAATTTTATAGTTGGTGAGAGAAGGCGCAATTGTCGTATTGCATATGGTATTCAGATGGGCCCTAGGCGGATCCAGTGTGTGCAAATTATCCTCAATATGATGGCCAACTAACAGGACGAAGCTGCAAAAAAAGATGGGACTGGTGTGATTTATATATGTGCATGCCAAACACCGATGGGACCACCATAACAAACATGATATAATACAATCTCCCAACTCGCAAAAAAAACAGCCCCACCTCCATCACTTCCTTGGGTCTCCGGTCCTCACTAGGCCGTCTTATAAATCGGTCAAGCCAAATACAAGCGATGACAGCCACGAGATAATATGTACAACATGAATCATCCACAGCATCTCTAGTCACCACCATGTCCCAGCCGCAACCGTGAGAAATCCCTCTTGTCAAAATCTTCCAGAGGCATCGTAGCATCCTTTAGCCTGTCCAGGTTTCCTACACTAGCATTCCGTTTCTTGATGGACTTCGCCTTCTTCGACACATATTCAAGGTCGTCCTTAAAGACCTCTGCCCACGAGCCATAGATATCCTCCTCCTCATCCTCCTCCGCGGTCCCCAGGCGAACCGTTCGTTGACGCATCTTGATCGGCCGGATGAGGGCGAGTTCCTTCTCGCGCGCTTGCTGCTTCAGGCGCTGCTTTTCACGTCCGGTCAACTTCTTCGGCTTCGGCCCGCCACGAATGATCTTCGGCCCTTTTGAAAAATTGGGGTCATAGCTGAATTTTGAGCCAGTGTCGGGTTCGATACCGCCCGCGGTGAGTATCTTACGAGACAGCTGGCTCACCGGACTTGGAGCCTCAACCACCCCAGTGTCCGCTGGTGGAGCTGAGGTGTAGTACCGGATAGGTGCCATGCTTGGCTTCCGGGGGCAGGGCTCTGCCGGTAGATCACTATCGCTGATACCCTTCCATTCCTCCTCCTCCACCTCTTCCCCCGACCCCCCCACAATCGCTGCGCGCTTCTGCCTTGCTTTCTCCGCCAAACCCCATTTTATAGCGGGAGCGTTGGGTAAGCGCGCCCGTTCTTGCTCATTTCTGATAAAAACTGCCACGAAGAAACCGATACCTCCGTCAACCCATGGGTTAAACCTGATACATGAGTCCGCCACTTGTTCGTTCCCCTCGCATTCCTCCAGTATACCTCTCCTAAACCAATCTCTCATCTTATTTAGATGCCGAGGCTCTGTCACCCACCCTCTGCGCCTTGCAACGGAAGTATTTAGTGCTGCCATGACAACCCGCTCGTTCTCCTGCGCGTGTATAGAGCAGGTGCTATATGTTATCCGTGTTGCGCTGGGAAAACGCATAGCATGCTCAATCATCCGAACCTGAAAGTCGGCCAGGGAGAAAGTCCGATCTTCCACCGTCCCCCTTTGCCGCCATACTCTCGAGTCATCATATTCTACGGCGCTCGGTAATGTGTTTAGGCCCTTGTAAAATGACCCGTCCAGACCCTTTGACCCCCTTTCTCTTGGCTCACCCGGAGGAACAAATTTATATTCATCCCTCTCCACAATACCACTTCCAGTACAACTCGGATCAAGCAGTATATGTGTGACTTTGTTGAGTCCATTCTCCTCGTCGGGGTTCCACGGTGCGCTCCTGAGAAAGTCCTGCGCCGGTCTAATCTCGACCAGATCCTGTGCTCCAGCTGCCTCAACCGTTTCCTTCAAAGTAAATGCTCTTCGATAGTCCCTCTCAAAGGCGAAAATCTTTCCCCTGGAATCAGGTCCTAGCAGGGACGCAAGGTGCGTAGTTTTGTTTCCCGGTGCTGCAGTGGCATCGACGACGTAAGCGTCCCGGGGAGGGTCCAGTAATTGTGCAGGGACACAAGAGGCTCTATCCTGGAACACAATGGCACCAGTTTTCTTGAGCGGATGCTTCATCAAGGGAGCAGCAGGGGCGAACGCCAATAGGTCAGAGACGTAGGGATCTACGTAGACCTTATTTGGCAAATCACCGCCATTCGGATAGAGATCCTCGAGATTGTCTACAGGAGTAAACTCAGAAAATACTCCCTTGTTCATGAGCAGATCATAGTTGGCCCTCAGATTGTTGATTCGAACCCATCGTGGGAACCGTGGTGTCTTCGACCGGGACCCGCGAAGAAGGGCTGCCTTAGTTGCATACCCACGTTTGAGCCTTGCGCGGGTAAATTCAGCTGACAAACGAGCTCGGTTTCTCAATATCGAGGATTTTAGCGGGCCATTGGAGGTAGCAATTCCGTTCTTCGAAATAAGAAAATCGTGTAAGAGCACCAATGCCAATGGATGCGTGAGCTAGATTGGACTCGAGAAAATATTAGCTGAGTTCGCAATGGCTTAAGACAAAAGCCAATTCAGGTTAGAAGGAAAATAAGGACCTGGGATGAAAATTTCGCCCCTTCTGGGGGTGGGTTCACCTTCTTCTCGACCTTTAGTATTTGTGATTTTTCAATCACTTCGTTGAGGATTTCCTGATGTTTGAGCGTCTCAACACATAGCGCGTATAATTGTTCCGGCTTCGATTTTATTGATCTGTCGGAATACACGGCCGCTCGCAGGCCGCCGAAGTTGGCTCGGGCGATAATTCTTGAACTCTCGAGGTAAAGTGACATAGTGACATCTACGGTGGGGTTGTGTTGAATCTAGAAGTGAAGCGGGTCCACACGATAAAATCCTGCACCGCTTAGTAAACATTGCCACGTGACCCGGCCACCCAATGCTGGACTTGTCCAGATGATCAGGGCACTTGTGCTCCTGGCAACTCTCGGCGGTTGCATCACAAAACTGGGTTTCTTGGCAATCCCTCACAATCTCAAAGTTGAACATGTTTGGATGTCAGCTTCTCTGAGGTTGTGATCCCGCCACATCCCTGCAATCTTTGAGATTCAAGTTTCTCTGGTTAAAGTTCCCAGGCTTTCAGGTTCGCCGAAGCGAGCAGCGAATGCACCCACACCTTTCAACCGAATTTAAGTCTTCGGTTGCATCCATATTTGAGCCTTCTTTTCTTTCAACTATCCACCAACGACACTTTCTTATCAATCAACCACCCCTAAAATACAACTCCCGAGACCCCCGATCTCTCGATTTTCGTTCTGCGATCCACAGATTCCGGATCTTATGTATGGATTTCAATCCTTGGACATCCAGACAGGCCATCCCAATATATACAGCCCTGAAAATGTTCAGTTTTCGGGTGACATACATAAAAGCAGGAATTTTATCATAATATTATCATAGTTTGTGGAGCTTTCCATAGGCTACTTAGGGCAACCACTCAGTCCACTCCTCTAGTGGAGTTTCTCGAGAGCATGGCGCCGTAATTTAGGTCTCAGGTCATTCCAAGAGCATCCGGCAGGCGCGAACACTAACCCACTACACATCTAACAGCTAAGACGCTGTCTACGAGTAGTATGATACCACACCCTTCATCATAAACCGTGTCGTTCAATAAAAGCCGATGGACAACCAAAAACAGCAAGGAGGGGATGAACGGTGACTGGAGTTCTCCTATCATATCGACCGTTCCATCTCCCATCTCCCTTATTCCGGCAAGAGTGGGGGGGGAGACATTCAGCTTTCTAGTCCGTACTACTGGCACCGTTGCTAGACCGGTTGGTCACCGTAGAATCCCAAACAATTGAACCGCGTGCTAGGCACTGTCTGGTACCGTAGTCCAAATCTCCCCTCTCTGGGCAAGGGACGAAAGAGCACAGCAAGAGGAGAGCCATTCAGCCCTCGGAAGGGAATAAAAGATAAAAATGTGATACAAGACCTTATAATACCGCTGGAGGCAACTCTAACCGCATGGGATACTGTTCAATCGTCTGTGATTCTAGAGCACGCCTTCCCGAACGAATCTCCGAAGAAGGAAACGGCTTCACCTACCGTAGTTTTTCAAACGTAACTGTACGGCTGAAGAATGGGATGTGACGGTATGGTGAAAGGTCAAGCCAAGCTCAGCTGAGGGAGCGAGGGGCGGAAAGGAAGGGCATAAAGGAAGGGCTTGATTCGACGGGGCTGAAATGAGATAGATGAAGCTATGAACTCGACAGTGATCCGATTGAGGAGTGAGGAGGGGAGGCGGAGAAGGGGGGGGGGTGGAGTTAGTTATAAAGGAGAACTGTTCCTCTTTTCATTTCATTTCCTGCTGTTTCGTTTCGAGCTCACTAGGTTAACCAACAATATCGTGCACCCTGCTCCGCAACTTTTTCCCAAGATGGAGTTCCTCCTTTTAATAACCGCGATAATAACCCCGACTCTTGCTGTTGTGTCCGGGATCACGGGTGTCAATTGTCACGGTACGTGCTCGTATCCCGGTACAGTACCAGTATCTTAGTTGCCAACTGAGACATCCCAAATCCTTGCCTTCATCCGTCCCGTGCTCATCCCAACAACAACAACCCTCATCACCACCACCACCACCACCCGACCACACATCCAACACAAATACGGTACATACATACATGGACACATAAAAACTAACAGCATTCCAGGTTACATCTTCACACCGGCACAAGTCTCCAACGCCGCTAATGCAGCTCTAAGCCATCTGAATGCCGGTACCCAAGTAGGCTCAAACGATTATCCGCACCAGTACAACAACCGCGAAGGTTTCATCTTCAATTCGGGCTGTTGGCCCCCGTACTACGCGTTTCCAATTTTTAGGGACCACGTGTATACCGGTGGTTCTCCGGGTCCGGATAGGGTTGTTATATAGGAAGTTGGGATGGGACCAGTGGTGCACTTTGCGGTGAGTTTCTTTCTCTTTTTTCTTTCTTTCTTTTTTATTTCTCCCTTCCCGGTGTTGTTGGAATGGGGTGGGCGAGATTGACTAGGGGCTGAGTTTCGAGTTTGCGGGATGCTGTAGATGGGATTACGCACTACGGCGCGAGTGGGAATAATTTTTTGCAGTGCACCGATTCCACTGAATCATCCCATGATGTGGCATGAATCGGATAGGAGCGAGAAGGAAGATATGCGCTATTGGGTTACAATAGTTATATCACAAAAGCTGATGGATGAAAGGAAATTTTTGTTTCAGTCCTTCCTCCGTCCTCCCTGTGAGAGGGAAAGAGGGAAGAAGGAAAAGGTTAAAATTGAGATTTAAAAAAAAAAAAAAAGGATAGAAGCTCCGACTCCAAAAAACTCATGGCACGTGAAACGAGCGAAAGAACACAATAACTATTATTGTACATGATGGCGAACACAATTTAGTGTTCCAAGGAGCGTTTTTTCATAACCAGGTCGAGTCGATGGTGGTGGTGGCTGTTTTACCAAACCGAGATACTGCCAACACCAGTATCCATGACGTTGGGGTTTTCCCAAAAACCTCCGGAAATGCCACTAAGGTCGTTGATGGCAAGCCTAACGGGGATCCTTGCACCCTCGTCTTGTTGCCATGTTAGTACTTATCATGGTCGGATAGCATAAGACATTGAATAAAACGAGAGAAAAGACTTATCATACCAATAGTCTTGGGTGGTTTGCCCCCCATGGAGGCACCCATTTCTGTATTAACCCTGGTAATGAATCATCAGCTATGTGCCGACCACGGGAGAGAAGTGGTGGGGGGGGGGGGAGGTAACATACCATCCAGGGCAGCAAACGTTGATGAGCAAGCTAGGGTACTTCCTAGCCAATATTCCAGAAAGTGCTGTCTCCCCGGCTTTGGTAACGGCATATGCCATGGGCCACCCATTCTCACTCGCCTTACCGTCCTTGCAGTCCGCCTGGTGGGAATCACAATCAGCCACCGAGGCAACACCAACTGACCGGTAAAGACGCATGTGGAGAGTAATAGAGCGGGGAGCAGCAAACCTTGTACTTGTCCATCAGAGCACTCAGCTCCTCGATTGTCAGTTCTGGGTTGCCGAGTTGATTCCTTATCTCCTCGTTTTCGAATGCAGCGAGATGACCAATCGCAGAACCGATGGTGACGATGCGTCCGTGCTCTTTCTCAATGATTGGGAGGAATTTCTTGCACACCTGTATTCGTTGGTATCTCACTCAACTCCATTCCCCCTTTTCCATTTTTCCATTTTTCCCCACTCGCCGAAAGAAGGCGTAGAAGCGGAGAACATACCATCAAAGTTCCGTAATAATTGACATCAACCATCAATTCATTATCAGTCCCAGCAATCGAAGCATTGTTAATGAGCACATCGAGTCTCCCATGGGCATTCCTGATCTTGTTAACCAGTGCGTCGATGCTCTGTTCGTCGGTGATGTCCAATTGGTGATAAACCAAATTCGAAGTACGCCCCCCAATGTTAGAAAGCTCTGTGACGGCCCTCTGCCCGCGGGAAACATCACGAGAGGTCAAGTAAATGATAGAGTGGGAAGGGGCAGAAGTAAGCAGGCTACGAACAATTCCGTAGCCGATACCCCTATTCGCACCCGTGACGAGGATGACCTGAGGATTCATTTTCGTTGGGGGAGGGTTTTCCGAAGACAAGAGGTGTCTTTTGAGATAGTGTGTAATTGAGTGTAGGAAAGCCAGCTTGTTGATTTAAGGGACCGGAGCTAGGTGCAGGAAACTAAGCTTGCTAATGCCGATGAAGAAATCGGGAAGGAGAGGACATGAACTTGGGATTTTTATATTCTTCTCCAGAAGAGCTGCGGCGGGATGCAAAAACAAATTCCCCACACATAGCACACACGCGCACTAATTTAGTGCTCACTGCCCAACTGCCACCAACCTCGAGCGGCTGGAAGCCCTACCGTATTTCGCTCTCCAACATCGATGCTCTGATAAGGTCATCAAGTGCCGGGAGGGATAGCAGACATCATGTGGTCCGAACTCTACCTAGAAGATATTAGATTGACCAATTAGATTTCATTCAACATTTAAAACAGCATGCGTAAATCCCGTGGAGAGAGAATGACTTCGCAGGCGAACCGTGAAAACTATAACAATTGAGAAACTCCCAAGGACGTTGGAGTTGCCCCTCCTAGTAAGGTCTGTTGGCTTTTTCTTTTTATTTGTCCCAACCGAGAGCTGAAAGGGAAACTTCCCAATGCGCTTTCTCCTCACAATCTAATGGGGAAATTCTGGACCTCCCAGCGTGATTCTCAATCATTCCAGTTTTTACGGTGCCACACACCGCTGAACATACCACAGTATGATACTTTGTGCAAGGCAACTGCACAAGTACTCGGGTACCAGTATGATATGAAGTGTTAGCAATGGACGGGCAGGGGGGTTCAAACAATCAAAGCTTCCTACCCTTCCTGGGACAACCCCTACTTTTAACTAAATCGCTTCTCTTGCCTCCGACGGTATTGGTCACGAACCCCCATACCCGGGAAGCCCACTGATTTCGTGTGGTAGATTAGTAGGAAAAGATCATGGACCACAGGCAGAAAGAATACTCATGTCTTTTGTGCAGAGAATTGGCTCTCAATTACCGTTCCTATGGGCCTGGAGCGGCTATCCTAAAAAGGGTGCCAATCCTTGGCATGGACGCAAGAGTGTTCCTGGGGATTCAGGGCCGTCACGTCATGAGCGGTTGTATGGTGTGTAACTTCCTCCTAGCTGCTCACAGCGAATCACTCGGTTTCTCCAGTGTTGCGCACGGGCCGCATGCGGAACTTTCCTTTCTTCGTTGTGTTGCTGATTGCTGTGAAATCGAGGCTTTGAGAGTTGGATTTTGATCCTCCTCTCCCGTTATAGTATGAGTATGATATCCCGGTCCTAACCTTGTTGCTTTCTGCGGAATAGCTACCCCCAAGAACTTTTTCCATAAGCGAGAAGGCGTCCATCGACTCATTTTTTTCCAAAGACGAGAGGCAGCAGGAAATCCAACTCTTACCAATGGGCAGAGAGGGTCTACTCGAGTATAGAAAATCTCTCACTTTGTAGGTCGTCCAGGCTGGGTGAGGTGTTCAGGTGACTTGCCTGGATGTCCACCAAGCCACCGCATTGGTTGGGATTCATGAGAGGGCAGAATAAGGTCACGAAACAACGGTACAGTATGAGTACTCGAGTACAGTACAGCGGTCAAGACCCCCCAAGCCAACAATCACATTGATCTGCGTTCCAATACTATGCTAAAGAGAAATTTCGGTAAATTCAAGCCGCCTTCCTGGTACCATATTGCCCACCCTCGTTTAAAAAATCTTCTCTCCCTCCATCGTTTCGGTCTGTCCAGAGTAGGTTAGTTATATAACCACACCATTCCGAAAAGTCTGGGGAACCCAGGGTTTGTTCATAAATCATACCTTTTTTGCCGCCTTCTTGTATGCTTCCCTTTCGGTGAGCTTTTCCGTATATGCCCAAAGTCTCGGATAATTCTCCTGAGTGAATATCGATTTCCCTTTCATTGCGGTAAGTGGGAAAGATAGCAGGATATCCGCGCCGGTAAACTCTTCTCCAGCAAGCCATGGGCGCTCGGAGATTTCGGACTCGAGGAAGTCGAAATGGGTCTTATAATTTGGTAACAAGAATTTTGTCTCCACACCGGAGCATATCATATTGACAAATGGCTTCAAGAAGAACGGGACGGGTGCGCTCCTGACACCCTGCATTACAACCCCAACGATCAGGGGAGGCATAAAAGAGCCCTCTGCGTAATGGAGAAAATATCTGCTCATCTTGTTTAGAAAACCCTAACTACTAGAGAGCGTGGGGGATCGTAGGTGGGGGGGGGGGTAGCAGACTTGTATCTCATCAAAGAAGCACGGTCTTTTGGCTTCAGCCATTCGCCATAGTTGTCGACCAAGTACTCGGTAATGAATCCAGACTCGGCAAGCAGATCGTCGTTAACCTTTACCACTGGGAATTTCCCGAGTGGATGAATTTCCTTAGCGTTTGCTGGAGCTAGCTTATCCACCCGTCTGTAAATCTCGAGATCGTAGTCCAGACCGAGCTCTTCGAGAAGCCATACTATTCGTTGGGCGCGGGATTGGTTGAGCCTGATGAATTTGTCAGGGGGTGACCTCGAGTGAGCGGCCGGGGGGAGGGGAGAGTTGGATACGAACCAGAACAGTGTGACCTTTGGCTTTACAGCCTCATCTTTGGATGCATTAGTGGTGACCATGTTTGTTGATTGTGTTGCAGAGTTATGTATTGCTTTACCGAAAATGGGTCGGTAATTTTTCTTTTTCTTGGTGCGGCGAGAGGTGTATGTGATCAGTGAAAGGTTTGGACGGTATTCGTATTGTAGGAAGTTGTAAGTGTGGTGCGATGCCGGGGAGACGAAGTATCTGGTGATGGTTTTAAATGGTTGAAGGTTCGGCATCACACCCAGCCTCAGTATGCCCGCATCTCGAATAAGCAGGTGTGCACCGTTCCTACATCCGTTAGGGATCAGGTCCGCAATCAAGTTCAAGGGATACCAAGTAGGAGACATCCTTCATACATTGCACCGCTTCCTTATTATATCTTTCGATCGGAGCTAACCCCCCCGTCCCCTTTTTCCTTCGCAGGTACAGTGGTATTCCACTCTCAGGAAAGATACTGACCGGTGTTGTCTCCAGATGATGATTCGCGGGTCGGCTGACCGTCGGCTCGTTCTACAAGTACTGGCATCATAAATACCATCAAACACCCCGCGCACGAGTACTGCACAGTACCGGTACTCGTACTGGTACATGCGATACTAGGCCTAGACCTGCCACTATATCTTGAGGTAACCTGTAGTTCTCTTAAGGCCTAATCCTGTGATAATCGCAAAAAACTCTGGAACTTTTGAAACTCGCGCTAGGGTGTTTGAGTTACAAGCACTGTACCTTTTCTGGGGGGTTAGTGATATCTTTCGTTTTATTTACCGGTAAAAGGCGGAAGACTGAAAGTCCGTTTTTTTCCGGGGCGATTCCCCCCCTTATCCCAAGAGGGGAACTCTGGACGTCTTAGTGCGAGGTTCAATCATTCGAGCTCTTGCTGTATTACCGTACGAGTACTCCCACTTTTCCCCGCAAACACCAGTAAATACCTTCGTTCTCTCAGCACACTGAGACGAAATTTTTTGTTAGAAGCCCGCTTGACAGGGAATTTAAGCTTATTTTTCTGTATGATAGATCAATTGAGAGAATTGAATCGAAAATGGACAAGGCTAGCCTCAAATCCCGCATGAGTTGTACTGTACGCGACATACCAGTACTTTAGTAGTCCCAGGTAGCAAGTGCCCGGTGTGAGAGAGCATCTAGCGCCTTCTCCTAGCTGAGAGACTTCCAGATACAAGTACTGGGCACAGTCTTCACATTACCAAGGAATGGGATGATAAGATGGCGCTGCCATATACAGTACTCGTAGTACTGTACTCGTATGGTATGGGATGTCCATTAATAATCTAGAAATGTATTTTAAAATAGACAACTTCCATACTTAAGTAGCCAATTCTGATGGTAGAAGTATCATACAAGTCCTAAAACAATGTGGACTATCAACATTACCAGCAAGAAAGATTGAAAAATATAGCTACCGAACAGTTAATCTAGGTTAAACCGCAAAACAAACCCTGCCTTGTATGAGATTATCCCCTGCGCCTGTACAAAAAGTTAGATCTCGGTATTTTGTACCTGCAAGAAGAAACGACCACTTACTAGCTAAGAACATGCCAAATAATATCTAAATCATCCATTGTTTTACCACTTTTCATTACGCTTTTCTTTTGTCCTGTTTGGGTTTGTTATTTAACATAATACGTAACTACTTTGAGTCCATCTAACAGCTTCCAACATAGGTATGATATGTTTTAAATTCTAAAAATTTCAGTCACAGGATATATGTGTTTCCAGAACAGTATGCCCCTGCGCCTATGTGATTTGCACATGGGTATCACAATCAGTTGTTCAAGTTCTTTATATTCTCTGGCGTTCATCGCCCGCTTTATCCAAGGAGGTATGATAATTATGAGATCTGGCAACGTGATCCGGCCACACGATCTCCAAGAAATCACGATATCAAGACATGGCGCCTGGGCTACAATAAGGCGTCCAGCCTCCCTGGCCGGAAAGGGTTTTAGAGTGCCAAGTTTCCAGCGAATCTACCATACCAGATTTGTGTGCAAAAATGGCGCTACTTCAACTTGAAAAACCTTCATAGACATCTTCCAACCTTGGGACTGAGTGCTCCTAATCCAAGGATATCATTTCTCTGACCTTCCCTGCAATAAAACCCCATTATCCAAGAGGCCGATTTTGGAATTATCCTCATATGATATCACGATATCATAATCCGGCGGACCAAAAAACCCCCCTACACACACCTGCAATATATCACAGAAGATATCATATCATATTTAAGAGTTTAATCGGCCACCTGTCGGTGATTGTCACGGGTTTCTTCAGTCGTCAATTTTTGCCCTAAAGTAAAAACAAAGCCATAGAAGCTGAGGGGTAAGGGTTCATCTCAGGGTGGATCAAGGACCACTTTTTCTCCCCCCACCCGCTCTGGGTTCCTCATAGTTCACGACCTGCTCCACGCCTTGGCTGCAGAGGGGGGATACAGGGGGATGGCAAGTGGGCAGGACGATTTTTAATTAAACTCTTGGATTTTTATGCGTTCTATTACGGTACCAGCTGGGAGTGTCTTTACTGAAATTAAACCCTGAGTAAGATCAGTTTCCCATACTTCCATTACTCAGATCTCAGATGAAATCTCTGTACTCACTCTCGAACTTAAATAATAGCTGAAAGGAAGTTGCGTATCTGTATGATGATCATATAGACTAACCTGTCATGTTGGTAGTATTATCTTTGTAGATATCATATGATACCACCTCGGGGTTTAGGGATATGACTTTAAGATAGGGAGTCAGATATGTTTAGTCATATCATACCCACACTTTTGATCTGGCCCGTGGGTCCCCATGGGCCCGGCCAGTCGCAAGCACTGCCACTGGTCCCCTCCTGGAAAAATCCTACGTCATGCTAAAACCACCCCTTCTGTTCTGCGGGGCGTGTAGCCACTACCTAGTCACGTTTCCGAATCCTATATGTTGCGCTCAAGTGGAAAGTATCAACTACTCTGGCAGGCGTTTTTCGTTTCGTTAACCCCCCCCCCTCGAGTAGCGTGGAGGGTTAACCGACGGGTAACAAGACTTGTCGCTGGAGGACTGTACTCAAGTCCCGAATCTGTGGAAGGGCAATCGTACCCCTCCAGGAAGAGCACGTGGTCAAATTTCGACCGAGAGACCCCACAGACACTACCACAGATCGTACGGCAGTCTGGCTGATTTGCCCACTGGTATCTATTATATCATAAGATGATATCGCAAGCTACTAGTGCTCGCATCCCTGTTCAAGGGCTTTGGGCGGTATCCGGATCCACACCACTGGTATTGTACCGAAATCAGATCGTGGGACTCGTGGTCAGCCCAAGGACAAGCAAGGTTTGACGAAAACTGCATATAGAGCGACATCCGTAAAGTTCTGAGATCCCCCCCCCTCCCTTGCATCCTAAAAGTAGTGCCTATCAAGAGAGCAGAAGATGCCTGTTAACTGTTCTTGGATATGCTCCCAGGGACATTGTAAGTTAAGCTTTTATCGTACCACGGCAGCACAGTTTGTTTTACTGAACAATAAGAAAACGAGGTTAGCGAAGAGTTTCCAAGTGCTGATAATATCATACTATACTGTACAAGCACTCGGAACGGTACCGCATAATCTCTTCCAATCCACCATCCCTGTAGACCTCAAACCCCGTACTCAGAAACAAGGGCCTCCAAGAAGGACTGACTCAGTGCTTTTCTCACACTGTAGAGCCTGAGCATTCCCACTGTGTTGGATCTCATTAACTAGTATTCACAATTCTCCCAACCTGCCAAACGAAAGCTACCGGTGATTGACCGGAGATTAACCCCTGCTAAAGAGATACCGTACGAGTAAACTCTCGTTAAATCCACCATTGGGGATCTCACGGGTAAATAGGCTTAGCGGAGCAGGTTAACAAATTACGAATACCAATTAACGAGATCCAATGGACTCATCCTAACTAAGCTATCGTGTCTGGAAAACACTATTCCTTCTCAGGGTGTTTTGTCTCTGATCGGGAGGATCCGAGGCCGATGGGCGATTTTTTGTGGATTTAACGAGAGTTTTACGGGTACGAGTACTTGTACGAGTACTACTGTAGTACTGTAGTGGATCGGATGGAGATTATGGCATGGGAACTATGCGGATGCGGCTGAACTCGTGGCATGTAAAAGGTCTACGAAAACAGGGATTCGCAAAATATATGGCAAAAAATCCGCGGTATCCGGGCCTCATACGTTTTCGGATACCGGTACTTCTTGCCTACCGGTAGGACGAGCAATCACACCATAGGGGAAAAGAAACCCAAATGGGATCTTGCCGATGTACCGGCATACAGTACGAGTACAAGTAACATCATGCGCGCTGGTCCCTATGGCGTCACGCAGAAACCGCATTACTCGAGTACCGTACTCGGGTAACTTATGGACGTAGGTGATGGGGCGGACAGGGGCTACGATGTAAAAGTTCCCTCCCCTTCCTGGCATCACTCCCACCAAATTAAATCAATTTTTCCCTCTCACGGTACCTGCGCCAGGACTCAAAAACTCCTGTCCGTCCCATTGTCGCCTCCTGGAGGCTCGTTCGAGTCTTTCATTGCCGGTAAGCCGTGCCCATTGTGCCAGGCAGGATATGATCTAAGATATCATACCACTGTGGGGATTCGCAAAGCCCCGATCCAACCACATCCTTAGGATAAGCCCTGGGACCACATGGCTCGCATCAGCAACCGCGGCGGTTTTGGGTGAGTCTAAGCCACCCGAGGCTCTAGCCACCGTGGCCAACTCATGCATCCGGGTTGATTTATCACCCTTTGTGCTCTGGACTTCATAACACATCGAGGGAGTTCTCCACGAGGTCTCACAGTAGTCTGGACACTCTAGGAGCTTCTCGAGGTGCACCGCACAATAGCCCGCTGACTTGTTGGGGTTCAAGATGACAGTTGCAATTCGAAGGCACAGTACAGTACTCAAGCACTCGGGCAAGCAGAGGAAGTATCGATTTTCTTGCCTCTCTGATAATGATCGTGTGGTGGTTCTCGCTATTTGTTGTATGATACCCGGGCACCCGTAATTTTCTGACGTCTGCGAACACAGCTGCTATTGCACCCTGGCAAAAAATCGATTGGAGCCTCGTGTTTACAACCGCCAGAGAGTACGAGTGACCATAGACTGCGAGTAAATTACGGCACTGCACTTCGCTTGCATTTCATTCGACAAGGCCATCAAACCCTGGCCCAACATGGCGTGGTCTGGCAATGCGATGATAAGAGGAGAGAAAGGCTAGGCCTATTTAGGCTAGAATTCTTAGTAACTACATGATCTGCGACAGGGATCAGACTGACTAATTGACAAGGGTCTGCAGAACTCTAATTTTGGCGAACGCTGGATTTACCCCCTTGGTCCTGGAGAGGAAGACTGGAGAACATTCGCCAGCTGCTTCCATGCTTTTTTTTCTGATGCACATGGCACGCACACCCCGAGTTCAGAATGTTACCGCCATTTTTGGCAGATGGTCCACTCGACGTCGACCTTTCAAAACCTATTCTGGTCTCCACCGTGAATAGTCTCCGCAATCCCAGATAGAACGGCCGGGCACACTGCTACGCGCAATGGAGAACCGGCTCGGCCGTCAGCCGCAAGAACCTGGGATGGGGTGGAGAAAGCTATAGCACATGGAGGTGGTAATACCTGGTACGGTAGTGGGCAACTAAGGGTTTGAGCAGCAAAATATTCCCAAGTGCTGAAAGTATTCTTTGGCCTACGGTACCGGTATTCATACCTTGCTACGGGGAATAAGTGCCGAAACGAAATCAAGCTGAACCCGGGTTTGGTGGAAGCAGCGGCTGTCTACTCGAGTAGACCACCATGCTTTTTACGGGTGCCGTAGTGCCGCTCCCGAATGAATGTTCCAAGGGTTTTCTTGGGTCCTAATAACGAGCTGCAAGGGGGGGCTAACCGGTTACAGTCCTTGGGTAGACCCCGTAGGCCGATCTATGGGAGTCATACGTCTTACACCCTCTTTCCTATTTATTTATTTTTACCGCCCGGCGTTGGCGAATTTGACGCAGGAACAGCATCCTTTCGGCGTAATGGTTTTCTTTTTCTCCTGACAAGCAGAGCGCGGGGATTGTGAGGTTCTGGTGATATTACAAGTACAAGGTCATCACAGCCAATTGAATGATACTACGTAGCGTTAGCCATTGGGGCGCTCGAGCACCGGTAGGGTGCGGGTTTATAGGATTTAGGGGTCCAGGATGAAGATCATAACCGCCTCCTTCCTGGTAATCGCGTTCAGATAGTCGAGCCTGCTTCAGCAGAGTAATGGTGGTATGATGGCCAGCAATATTTGAATATCATTGGTCGAATCGTCATTTAAGCTAGAGCGTTAATGTAGATTAATGAAGGTGAGACTAACACTGAAACTTCTACTCGAGCAGTACTCGTACACAGAGAGATAAGCTTTCAGCCTGTTAGGCGGATTCCAGCAAAGCCGGTCCTAGAGAGAGGCCAGCTGCATCCAAAGTCCGGATGGGGCGCGTCTAAATTCTGGCGCGATACCGACAGAGTTAACTTAGTGTGATTCGAGTATCTCCCAGCCCTACCATCGTTTTTGAAGTCGGAAGGACTCGCATATCCGCAGTCCGGGGAAAAGGCTGAGTAGTTGCTGCAGGAACATACTGTTGATGGTGGCTATGCCCATTCAAATTCATTTACCTCGGCCTCAGAACCCATATACTACTGTACCGGTACCGTACATACCTGCTATCCGAAGGCTGTTTTCCCCTTACACATTTGTTTTTTGAATATGGGATGAGATCCTCGGGATTAAACTTTGTAATGAACTAGATCTAGATGTGGCACGGCGAAGCAAGGGAAGACGGGAGCTTTATGTGCTCCGGCCTCGCACAGTATCTCGAATCCTGTATTTTTTTTTTCCTCAGCACTCCGCCGAGGGTATCATACTAAGCGATATTATCACTGTCATCAAGGATATCGTCATTCTCATTAACTGTCTTCGCATATCACGCATTCAATGGCCACGCACATGCCTCGGGATTCACATTCCAATTGAACGTCCTCCGGTATTTCATAAAGCACCCGACTGGCATCTCCAATTGCCCAGAGACCCAGTGGCTTTCCCCATCCCCAGTCCCTTCACACTTGTCCTTCTATTTTTCGCACGGAGTCAAAAGTCAACTGCATCCCGAACCCCACCCCAAACTCTATCGATCAAGCTTGAACTCACAGTACAGTACATCTCACAAGTGCGACCGCGATAGATTCCCCATACAATCGAAAAAACACCCGTTGTATGAGGAGACACAACATCCACTCAGCAGACATATGTACCGTACGTCGCTCCTCTGGTTGTCAATTTCCGAAATCGGTTTACTTGAAAATCTGAGGACAAACATCTCAACTTTGATAAACGCTATATCCGGATAACTATACCCCTATACCTATCCACTTTTATTTTTATTTCTCTTTCTCTTCCGGTAATCTCAAAATTCAAGGCAATTCGAGTCACATCGCGGGTAGTGGTGCTTGGGCAAGGGTTTCTTCGATTGTTAATATCATACCGGTACTGTACACCACCACAACTTTGCACAAAAAAAGACACGAATTGACGCCCGGATTAAAAAAGCGCGAAGCGAGCCGGTGCAATCGATTGTGGCTTCTTTTCTGGAACCAAGGATCGAAAAGGAAGAAAGAAAAAAAAACAAATATCACACCTAATCTGACGAATAGGATAATAGCCTAAAGGAAAAAATAGTAGAAGCGGAAAAGAAAATTTTCTTAACAGAGGAAGGAGAGAGACAGAAGAAAGGAGAAAGGTCAGTTCGGGGTTGTCAGTTCCCGAAATAGTTTTGCGGGAACGGCGCCTTGCAGTGAGATCCGGTGCGAGAGCCAAGGGGAACGGCGTGTGTCTGCTTCTGTGTGTGTTCAACCTTGTGTGAGAAATCGTGGGTCGAGATCAGTAGGATTGACTGAGGCTTTCCCTTTACCAAATTTCTGCATTATTTGTGACCTCCGAGATTTTTGGCTTTATTATGACCAGTCTCCACTGCTTTTCGTCGGCTCCTTCAACCGCAACGGCTAAGAGTTCTGGTGATAGTGCGAGCAATAGCATTACTGCTACCCCTTCAGCAAATTTACTACCTTCTACCGCAACAGCTCCAACCGTGGCTCCCACCGCTGCATTATACACTTCTGCCCTAGCCACAGCCTCATCTGGCGGTGGAGCGGATTACGATCCCATATCTCCCAGCAGCCTCTTTGGTCCGTGGGTGGAACTTGGTGCAACACCCACAAACTCACTCAACCCATTTTTCGACCCCCGGCCGAGTCCCATTTCTCACCCCCACCATCCTCCTTCCTCTGACCCCCCATATCGCCCTTCTCACCCTACTCACACTCTTTACAATCCCCCTTCAGCAAATAGTCGTTCACCTGCAGGTTCTGGCGCAAATCACCCCCCTACTCCGAGAAGCCTTCCACCATCGCACAAGATTCTGCAATCCCCTTCCCCGAACTCCGAAGGCAACACCAAGCCAAACAAGCGACCAGCCAGTAGTGTCGCTTCTCCATCCTCGCCCTTGCGCCCACCCCCCGCTATTCGGCTGTCGGAGAGGGAGACCCTGAGCAAGGGTGGAGGAGGCGGTGGTACTGGATCATTGAAGAGGGAAACCCCCAGAGAGGGCGACGCCGGAGACGACACAATGAGTGTGCACAGTCAAGGAAACAGCCACGACGATAAGCCGTCATCGAAGATTGCCACGAGCGCGTTCTTTCCAGAAATCCCAAGGATTCTACCGCACGAGAAGGTATGAGAGCCCTGGCATCCCACCTCACTGCCCTGCCCCGTCCTGCCAGTACAATAATTTTTTTTTTTTAAAAAAAAAAACCCCCCCGTCACGTGCTTTGAGGTTGATAGCGATCTATGACGAAATAGGTATTTCCAATTCAAATTGGTGGCGAATTGTTTCGATTGAGGTTTGTTTTCTTCTTTCCGGAGCGCTTTGCGTGGGTTCTTTGAGGCTGATCATGGTTTTAGCGGCGCATCGATATCCTCGGATGGTCAGTATACGAATAAAACTCCCTTCAATATTGTACAGTGCAGTTAGGACAAGAGACTAAGAGTGCTAGAGCTCCCTCATACTTTTCGCAATTCTTCGAGCAGCAGTTGGCGAACTTGGAGGAGGGTCAGAGTGTGAGAACGCTCTACATCGACCGGGATCCGGTTACGTTTAGGGATATTGCTAGGCATTTACAAGGTGTGAATTTTTGCCCGCAGTGAAGCTACAATTGAGGGAATGGGTATTGATATCGCGTAGGCTACCATGTCTCTCCCAGAGATGGGCAGCATTTTGTACAGCTATTCGCCGATGCGCAATTCTATAGCCGTAGGTTGTCTCTAGGGTTTGCGGAGGATGAAAGCTAATCGAAGCAGTTCCGAAGTTGATCTCGCAACTCTTTGAGTCGGAGATCTTCATCTCGATCGGATCAAGGCCTTTCCAGATCAATCGTGAATTATTCCAGTCCCCCGGTAACAACCCGAATTATTTTTCACTTGGGTTTGCGGTCTTCTTTTCATCACCAAATGAAGTCTTCCCGGGCCTGAGCCGAGAGGGGCTCCTGCGACCGCCCTCGATATTACCGCCTGAGGTCCCGACCCGTTCGGGCGAGGTCTTTGCCGAGCTTCTGCACTTGCTGCGCGGTTATCCGGTCCACATCCGGAATGAGGAGCACCGACAGGAGCTCTTGCGCGATTGCAAATATTTCCACCTAAAAGGGCTAGAACAAAAGTTGATTCCGCATGAAATATCGTGGAATCAGAAGCGACAAAAACAGGAGATAGTCATTAGATTGGAGGATATCAAGCCATCTGGAATTTCCTTTGCCCCTGGTCCGATAACCCCGGATCAAATACCACCACGCGCCACCTCAGGCTGGATCACCTACTCTCGTCCGTTCGTGGATGACACTCAGAGAGAGCTCATCTTAGAAATAGGAGGTGAGCAAACAAAGGTGGACTGGAGACTTGGGAGAGCGGAGTTTTCCGGAACCACGAATCAGCGCGTCACAGCACTCTTGCAGGTGATTGCCAATAAACTGGGATTGCCGGTGGGACATGAAAGAGCACTCGGTCTGCTTCTGATGCAGAATAGTATGAATGGAAGTACCAGTGGGTCAACCCCCGGCCCAGCAAGCCCGGGCAACACTCCACTCAGCGAGGATAGGGTAAAGATCAAGACCGGCCCCGATTGCTTTGTGCAGCTGGACGGAGAGGAATGGCAAGGATGGGATCGAGAAGGTGTCAATTCGGTAGATGGACATGACCTCGACGGTACGGCTGTCGACGACGCTTATGGCATGGGCAGCCGGCCCGGCCCCGGGAGTGACGCGGGGAGGAGCGCTGCAGGTGGAAGTCCAAATCTACCATGGCAGCAGCACTCCGGGGTAGGCAGCCGGCCCCCATCAACAAAACCCCAAGGCGCATTCCTGGGCATGCACCCACGAAAACGCCAGAAGCGCATGGCGGGGACCGAGGACTCCTCCGAGTGGCTCGTGAAGCGAGGACAGTGGCGACTGAGGGTGCAAATGGCGCCTGGAGTGGACGGCAGAGATCGGCCTGAGGTAATCTTGGTAGGTGTTAAGCTAGATGCTTTTAGCGGGGAATACGGAAGGAATGAACAGAGGAAATTCTTGATCTGAAAGAGGGCCTGACCTTTTCTTTTTCTTTTTGTGTCCCATTTCTTTTTTAGTGCTCCCCCCTCCTTTCTCTTCTTTTTTTTGGATTTTCTTTCAATTCCCCATTTGCCTTCCTTCCTATGGAGCATCTGCTCGCATTCTCTCTTTGTGGATGTTTTCGATACCGCTTACTTTCCTTTTCCTTTTCATTTTTTCCATATATATATTTCTTTCTTTACGAGCCTAACTACCTACTGCTTGCACATTCCAAGAGTATCTGGGGATATGGAGATCAGGCTAGGCACTCTTTAGCAGGCGGCCCCACTGCTGTAAGTTAGTGCCAAGTCAAAGCCCACATTTCCGGATTCCTTTGGAATGGACAAGTGCCGGTGCCGGGAGCATGGTAGTTTATCTTAGTTTCTATTTCATATTCTCCCCCTCCCCCTCCCCCTCCCCCCCTCCTCATCTACTCGAGTACCTGAGTATCTTCATCTATCTCTCCCCCCTGCCTCAGAAAATATCCGTGACAACCAAAAACCAACACGCTTCCCTACCTTCTTGCAGCAATTTTCTCTGGGTTTAGCCTTGTTTCCTCATTTCAGTTTCCTGATCCATTTACCTTTCATCATCATAATTTCAAGACGTGATACGGAGTATGGGTACAGGACTTTTTTTCTTCTTCTTTCCCTTTTTACCATTTTGTTTTGTCGTGCCCTCGCCCTATCGTTTATTCCATGATAGTGAATTTGAGTTTGAGTTAGGTGTACCGCGTGTACAGTACAAGTACAGTACTTTCTATCCGTTACTCGAGTACGCTCGCATCAGGTCAAGTGAGCGTCGTAAATTTAAGGTGAAAACAATACTACGCACGCTCCGTGACCGGGCTACTTGCCGTTCTGGTCATGATACAAGGAACTTAAGTAACCAAGTCGCACAAGTACCTTACCGTGCATCAACCGCTGGCCAATTATATGCAACTAGGGACAACATTGGGTTTTATCATGCTTGTGCAACTCTACGGGGTGACCGACTCATCATGCTGACCGAGATAGCATGCGCAGCGCTAGAGTTTGAAAGAAGGGGATTGTTTATCTGGTTCCTGCGTCGCATCTACAAGTAAGGAAGGGAAGAGCACTCGTAGAGTACTGTACTGTACAGTACAAGTAGACTACGAGTTCTGGTACTCGAGTACGGTACGGTAGTGCAATGCAATGGTGTAGACTATCATAGCACCAGTACTCGTACTATTATACCTATTATTATCACATCCGCGACTAACTTGAGCTTCATCTAGTGCGCGCCGCATTGCATATAATTTACTCACGAGCCCGAGCGTTTAAGCCCCCTCTCCCCCTCTTCCCCTAGAACCAAGCGATCACTGCTATTATATCATACCGCAAGAATTCACCCCTCATTTTCTCCTGCTCCACTTATGCGATACCCAGCGGGTACCGGTACTGTACTGTACTCGGGTACAGAACGGCAGAGCATCTTCCACCCCAACCGGCCAAACAATCATCCCATCCCTTCCCAACCCGCGCGCCGGTTGCAAAAATATTTTTCCATCCATCCATCCATCATGAATTTTTCTTTTTTTTTTCTTCTCTCTTCTCTCCATTTTTCCCGGAGCAGACTACCCTACTTCCTACCTCCTGGCCTCTCGACTCCACTCTCCCGGTGGGGTCGGGTCCAAAATGAGTCTCCCCGCATAATGTATTTTAACTCTTTGACATGTCTGGGCGGATGAGTTTGGAATACCACTATCTGCTTTTTCCTCTCTCTATCTTCCCCTCTTTCTATTTATTTTTCCTTTTTTTCCTTCCAGAGGGGTTGTTATTTCCGCTTGAATTATAAATCAATGATGAGTCGAGTTATCGATTGCGGGTACGCATTTGGTGATTAGTATGCGATAGATGGGTGGAGATGGGTAGTTCCGCTGGCTAGTGAGTGGTTACGAGTGAGGCTGGATCGCATGCGGGCATCATGCTCGAATAATTTGCTGTACTCGTACTGTACCAGTATTGTTTCTCTTCGATGGAGCACAAGTACTGGTATGATACGGTACTTTACTACAGCACTCGTACGAGTAAGGTGTGTAAATTTACGGGTGTCAATGGCATAGTACTCGAGTACTCTATCATAACTTTTGATTGGCTTTTTCATCGCCACAGCGTTGTAGGAACGGATCAGGCATGTGAGGTAAGGTACACGCTGTGTACAGTACTGTACTGTACATTGGTGATTTCAAAAGTGCTTGATTTCCTTTTCTTTCTCTCTTCCTCTCCCTTCTTAGCCCATGCTTCTGGTACGACACTCCTCCTCTTATCGCGCTTTCCCGCTTCCTCCTGCTTGTTCTTACAAAACACCCCCCGCTTGTGTGTGTTGAACAATGAGGGGATAAAGTAGGCCTGGTTTGTCTCGATTCTTTCTTCCTAGTGCATTTTTTGATATAACCCGTTTTCCTTATCCCCTTTCCCATTTCCCCCCCCTCTAGGCCTGAGCCTAGACCAACACATCCCCCACCCGTTACGTTAGAATTTTCTCTCCCTATTACTATTCCATATTACAGGACCTTCTCATTTCTCTCTCACTCTCTCCTTGTCCTCCTTCTTCTCCTCCTTCTTCTCCTCCATCTACTCCTCCATCTTCTCCTTCTCCTACAATCCTGCATTCCTTTAACTTATCACTACTTCCCACCCGATCTGAGAAACCAGAGTCTGTTCTGAAAGGTTGCAAGTGCACAATTGCTTGGTAATCCACGCCAAAGCCCGAAACATGGCCTTAGGAAGACCTACGTCATCCAATCACATTCCATCCGAAGACGTCAAGTGCGTAGACACGGTAATAGTAGGTGAGACCTCCCGCTCCCTTCCACTGCATAACTAATCATTTGCCCACATAATCAAAGAAAGGGTGAGAAAGCGTGACTGAACTGGACTGAATTGACATTCCCTTTTTTAAAAAAGGAAACGGACCTTCGGCTTTATTCTTGAGCTACCTACTTCATGGTAACATCCCTACTTACGATTCCGCTACCCACGGACCGCACCCCGACCCGGTGCTCCACTCAAAGCTCTCGCGATATGGGAACCGACCGCTCTTCGACGTAACCGAGTCCGCGAGGGCGTGCGAGGCGCTAACGGAGCACTTCCATGCCGCCACCCACATGAGCTATTCGAATCAGGCTCTGCCGCTGAACGTTTTGCTGGACACGCTGGTGCAGCCGGGTGCTGACACGGAGATCGGGGGGGCAAAGTCTCGGTTGAAGTGGAGTTTTGACGAACGGAGGAGAATCGGACATGTTGTTTTGGGCTCGGCAAAGGAGGCTGGCGGACAGTGGGCCGAGGATCCAGTTAACACTTCCTGGGACATTGAGACTTTGAGGTTAGTTTTCTTCTTCCCTCTTTCACGGTCCGGTTTTGGCTTGGGATTTGGGGCTGATATCGGGGGTAAGCTATTCGGAGATGTTGTCACTGCCAGGGTACTCCTTTCGGGAACATTATCGGAGGAGGCACGGGAAGGCTATGCCCCATCTTAATAGGCCCACGAGGCGAGAGGTAGCAAATTACTACAGCTCGTACCCTCGCGCGGCGGGGATATCATCGGAGGTCTTCTCGTCGGTATATGCGCACCGGATAAACCGTACACAATTTGGTTTCTCGGTGAGGGTTTACAGGAAACCCACCTCGTCGAGACCGCAATGCGAGTACACAATCCACTGCAAGCATCTCGTCCTCGCAAACGGGATCTTCACAAACGTCATACCGCCCCCACCCATCTTCCTACCATTGCTCAACCCGGAGAACAACTCTCTCGGCCAACAGCAGCGCTTTAAGACCCTTCCACTACTAGTCGTCGGCTCAGGCTTCACAGCAGCAGACGTAATCATCAGCGCGCAACCAAACCAGAAAATAATCCACATCTTCAAATGGAACACCACCCGCCCGTCGCCGTTGAAGGGTTGCCATCCTCTGGCGTATCCGGAATACGCATCCATATACCGCCGAATGAAGCAGTCTGCCGCAGACAGTACCTCCCCAACGTCACCAACGACCCCATCAAACTACGAGGGTTTTCCGAACGCACAGGTCATAGCGGTATCCGGCGATGGGCGGGTCATCAAAATATTAACGGCAGACGGCGATGTCCTGGAGCGCACCATCGGCACACTTAAGTACTGCGTCGGCCGGCGCGGAAGCCTAGAGTACCTCTCCGCGGAGCTGCGGAAAGCCGTGGGCGTGCTAGATGCTGCGTGGGTGTCCGCCGATACCTTGAGGAGACGGGTAGAAGCGGACCTGGAAGTCACGAAAAACGTGTGGGTTGTCGGCAGCCTAACCGGTGATTCGCTGGTTCGCTACGCGCTTGGAGGGTGTGTATACGCTGCTGGGAGGATAATGGCTGATCGGGAGATTCCCGAAGATGAGCTGATTATTCAAGAGGCTGCCGCCGCAGGCAGGCGGGGGTCTGGGTGTTTGGTTTCTTGATGGGCATGATGGCGATGATGTGGGATGGATGGGTTTTGTTGGGAGTTTTCGGAATAGAAATTCGTTGGTGTCCTGGTAGATGATTGGTTGGGCTTTTTTTATCTTATTTGCTCCTCCAGCGCCCTATGTGATACAGTACCGTACCCGAGTACACTGCGGTCACCAGTACCATACGGTAGCTGGATGACTGGGAAAGATGCGGGGGTTGGGAATTGCTGAGTAATTCTGGCGTGCTTGCTAGTTTGTCTTTTTTCAGATCATTGTTTGGTGCGTTTGTTAGACTTTCCCTCCCTTTTTTGCGCTGTCTGGGCACGGGCATAGGTGTATAATATAACTTTTTGCCTTTTTTTTTCACTCTTTTTTTATAAATTATTGTTTTTGCTCCTTGCCATTGGATTTTATGGGTGCTAGTGAAGGTGGTACAGCCGTTGGAAACCGGAGTGGTATTTTTATGAGTGATGTTTTGTGACCGCGAAAGTGGGCCAGGCAGGATGGAGTGCATTGGGGTCATGGTGTTTGTTTGTCCTGGAGGGGGTTAAGCACTATGCAGGTTCGGTGTGGATAGTATTGGAAGGAACCGTGTTCTCAACGGAGATAGTTGATGGCAATTGAATACTGTAACTTTCCCTCTCTGCCCCCCCGAGTTCTTCCAGCAAGCAGGAATACCGGCGCCGCACGTACCTTGTCGCTCAGGAGAAATTCTATACATCGGCTCCATGATGGATTAGCTTATATAGCTACCCTCTCGCTCACTGGCCTTCGTTGGCAAGCACTGCCCATGATCGGTCAGAAACGCTTCAGAGGCCGAATCTACGAGTTTCGGGGCTTTTCAGCGTGCACGATGTTAACACCAAACGGATCGCAAACCGGAGGTTGCTCGGGTCACGAGTTATGCCTCAACGGGGTTCGTGGGGTGGGAAAACGCTGTCCTCGAGCACACCATGATACAATCTTTCTCTACAAAGCAAGTAGTGGTTTATGATACAAAATCCCTTAAACTATCATACTCTCGAGTACTGGAGAACCTGGAAAAGTCAAGCTAATAGATAGGTAGGTATGGTAGTGCTCGCTGTGCTAGCCCCCCTTGCCATATTGGGGTGTAACTTATTGTGGTTTAGGTTTTTGTGACTACTGGTGGTCTAAACTGGTATCGTAGAGAGGATGAGCGGATTTTCCTCCACAGATCATGGGGCCCGAATATAGCAGTAGCCAAGATCACTTAATAGCCAGTGTTCCACCGGCCCAGATGGTGGACTGCTAAGAATGCAGGATGCTGCTGGGCGGTCTCTCGTAGCCCGATAGTCAAGGTTGATGATATCCAGTAGTCGACCAGTCGGACTCACGGCCAAGTCTGCAGACCGGCAGAGTGGGTGAAATCATCTCCTGCCACCAGGGCCCAGGCCACCCCCCAATGGGTAGCTCACAGGACCCAAGCCGAATCCAGCAGATACCCAGGTAAGCCGAAGATATTCTAGCTCACGGCTCCTATACTCTTCATTTTCACTCCTAATTGTGAAGATAGAACAAGTCAGGAAAAAACGACCTTACCTGAACAGAAATACAATGGAAAAGAGTTCACTCCCCAAACCCTCTGCACATGCGGGCCACCAAGCTGGGCCCAGCTTGCATTTTGGAAAGTAACTTTTTCCCAGCCGGGCCCGGCGCGGATGGCGTGGGTGGAGAGGGGGCATGTTGAGTGATGTCTCATGCGCGCAGCTTACCTGTACCCCCTCCGAGAATTGAGCATATGAACGGAATGAAGTCACTAATATGCTTTAGAAAATTCCGAGGTTTGAATCACAAACACTTGTTTAATCATGCCGGGGATAGAGATTTGGTTTTTATCTGATACCTATAATAGTAACCTCTTTGTGCTCATTATGCAACCCAAGGAAGCATAAATTGAGTACGACACACCCGGGTAGTACGTACTCGAGACAAGGGTCCTCGTAGTGGCTGGGAGTTGATGGGGAGAAAGGCTACTCCCCCTATCTATGGTTGGGCTCGTGATCTTTGAGGATTCTGAAAGGATTATAAAAGCGGTCTTGGGAATGGCTGCAGGGTTACTAGCGGGGTTACTAGCAAAGCAGAATTTAACTATGCATATTGAGGATATTTTTCTGGAATTCCATCCCCCTCTTTTTGTCTCCAAGATTTCATCCAGAGCCTCAGAGGCTCTTTTAAAATTGCCTATCTCTTCGCCCCCGTCTCCGCCCTCATCCCAACGTGCTATTCAACCTCTCAATTTCACTCTTCTTAGTGGCCCAGCTGGTACATTTCTCCACTGCCTGGAATCTCCATTGATAAGTGAAGTAGACAGTCGGTGGGAGGCGGGTGGGGTAGATCATCGCCGGAGTTTACCCCACTGTGTGGGGGGTGAGGATGCCCGGCGGGCATGCGAGAGTAGGGCCCCCCAGAAACTGAAAGGAGAAAATAAAATAAAAAGACGGGCTACTTGCAACACAAGCAAGCTCTCAGCTCAGGCTATATTTTTTTCAAGGACAGGAACCTCACCGCTCCTCCAAATCAGATAAAGAGGTCAAGAAAAATTCAGTTACCAAGCTTCCGTTATATGCCCCCAATCTGTGCATCGAACTTTGTGGACTAACACCCGTTGGGGTGGGTGGTAAATCACATTGAGGATCTAAGTGCCTTACCAAGTCCAGATATAGCTCTTGCCATCCAAAACACGTGCCAGGCTGCAACTTGTCAATCGATTATATCCCATCATTAAGATCTTTGTTCCTTTCGAAGAAGAAAAAAAAGAAAGATCTCTACATTATTCTCTTTCGTATTCCCGATAATCCAAGGGGTTTTTTTTAAAAAAATTAGTATTTTAACTTCGTGGAAGGGTATGATCATTTAAAAACGCTAATTCCTCGTGAATGTTTTGTTGAATGGCGGGAACCATAAACTGAGCGAGGATGTAATAATAATAATAATAATAATAATAATAATAATAACCCCCTCCTGTCGCAGACAAAACTATGCAGTCGTTGGTGCAATAACTTAGAGAATAGTAAATTTGTGCACGAAAGACGATCAAGATTCCAAAAGACAACCAGGATATCTAGTGGAAACCCAAGAAAAACTTAATACTTCCTTGTTGTGTTCTTAAAGTCACAATACAGTAATCCCCGACAGCAGAAAAGGGCGAGTCGATAGCCATCCTGGAGATTCTACGAGCACTTTTCCAGAATACACGCAGTCTAACTTTCGTCAAAGTTAGACTGCGTCTCGTACGTCTTGCACCTACATCTCCAGTGATCAGCACATACCCACCCCACCGAGGTGTAGGCGCCGACGGCGATGGGAAGAAAATGCCTTGAGAACACGGCATGTATAAGCTTGTGTAACAATATCTCAGTCGGGGGGGGGGGGTGGCGGAGGTCGTTCATCAGCGCTATTTGCTGTTTCTCTTGCCTGAAGTCACGATTAGACCTGGTGCAATTGGATGCAATTATCCGTCTCGTGCTCCCAGACTTTACTGCTCCGGATCATGTACTATAATCAGCTTACGATGTTTGTTCCAGCGCCAAAAGATCCTAGCCGACCAGAGGATATAAGCAGTGTAACCTAACGAGGTTTGTTTGCTTGTTCACTCGTTTGTGATGCCTATTCGCGGTACTCGCGGTGGAAAAGACCAAACGAGAGGTAGAAGCAACCCGGTATGATATCATACGGTACCTTATTGAGCTCCCTCAAAATTTCGAGTGATCGCGTATGACCTGACAAAGTCCGAATCGACTCCAGTACCGTCAAAGCGGTCCTAGACCATTCGACCCAATGTTTTATCGGGTCGAGTTCGGTCTGGCTCTGCTCGATCTAGCTCGCGCAAAACACTATTGCCGATTCAAGCCCGAATACTGTTGGGACTCCCCGGGCCTAGACAAAAGCATCTCCGTGAGCAAATCCTGCGAAATCGTGCGGGGGGGGGGGGGGGGCCAACGTGGTTCTTGGTAATTGGTGTCCTCGACTGGTTTGATTTTATTGGCGTGTTTTTGGTCCTGTTATCTTTCTGCGGCGAAATGGGGGGGGATTTCCCCATGGGATGGCTTTGAGTGCTTGTAAATTCAAAATTTTTATATTGGGGCGGTGGGGATTTTGTTCCCCCCCCCCCCAGCATATCATACCATAGGTTCAAATAGTAATTTTGGAAACATAGAGGAATATCATACTATGAATAAATCTGTGAAAGGAAAAACAATATTTAAAGGTCCCGTTGTCAAGAACAGGTGCAAAACAGCGGAAATTTGCACAGGAGTCTAAGCAATTACCCATCAATCATTCGCAATACGTGAAGTAAAGAAGAGTATCTTGAAAAGATACTCTTGGGTTTCTGCATATAAAAGTGAGGGGCGTGATTAGCTTTTCTTGAAGACTTAATTCACCTCTCTCCGCTGGCTACAGACCCGCTCGATCTTTTGCACTCCATTCACCCCATCCCATGCCTTTCATTCCATACCGGACATCCCATTTCATCCACCCTATTCTATTCTAGGCATTCGCACAAGGTTATCGGGATCTCCCATCTACCCCCCGCCATACGACAACAATATGCACCCTACCGATAAAGGGTGCTGGTACATGATACAATATAAGTAAAGCCAACAAAAAGATAAGTGTAGATTTTTAGTATCTAGAACAAGAACAGCTACCTTACTAGAATTGCCCTCTACTTTATTTACTATCAATGGCAATACGTTAGAAAGTTAGCACCCTTTGGGAGAGAAATAGCATGGCGAGGCAGCGGCACCTTCAGCTCCTGTAAGGTCACTGTTTAAGAGAAGTGGACGGTAGAAAGGGAGGTGGTAGTGGAGCTGGCGGGTGTCCATGAAAACAAGGGAGATATACTCGTTGGTTTGGTTACGACCATTTATATCCCATATTGAAAAGCCTCCATAACCCCAATAATACACAGGTGTAACTGCGGGCTGTCATGGCATTTGGATCTAGCCCAAGGACAGCAGAAATTAAACATGTGGACCTAGCGTAGCCGCGGAAGACTTTTCAAACGGGAGCGATTTACAGGCGGGGTGCGGGTCATTGGGAATCGACATGTTCCTTCTCACTAAAGGAATGAGCTTCCCGTACGAGTCCTAAGCTATAACTTGGGACTATCGAGGGCATTTTTTCCATGTATTGAACAAAACCAATTTATTGTGGTTATACCATAACAAGTGGATGCGGCCCACTAGGTCCCAGCATTGCAAAACTAGTACTGCAAGTTTCCGCAGGGGAAATGCGCAACGAAGCGACAACCCAGCCCAAACGAACTGGACCGCAAGGATTTATCAGTTCTCGTGACGCGGGGGGAAAATGGGGGCGTGCGTACAGCAACCTGTTTTCTCATTTCTGGCTTGTTTACTCGTACAGTAGGGTACGCTGCTCTCACCATTAATTAATGCCCGGGGATGTTGTGAGAATATTGGATAGAACAATGATATGAGATATAAAGAAGTGATCGATTGCTTGAGAAACTTAAATGCTTAACGCTTTCAAAGGGAAGAGCTTAAGACCCTGACTATCTACTGTTTTGGAGCAAGACAAATAGCTTGAGCGAGCAATAACAATAATAGAGAAAGACACGAGATTCTAGAGTTTTTATTGGAGTGTTGGGTATGATAGCTCGAGCTAACATGTTTCCGCGTTTCCAGCCCCAGTTTTCCGACCCCTTTCACAGCAGGCTGCGCTCCCAGTATTCAGACGATCCACTGTAGATAAGCAACAGGGCTAAATTACAATAAGTTTAGCTGAGTAGGTTAACAAAGTTACAGTACGAAGGGATCCACAAGTTTGATCTCGCTCAAGCCATACAGCATCAGGTAAACGCTTTTTCTTCCAGGTGTTTTGTGTCCCACCGCTGAGGTGAGAAGCCTGACGGAGATAGATAGTGGATCGTCCCAGTAAATACGGACACAGGTATTTGAGCAGGGTGGGGAGTATCCTTTCGTGCCTTGGATGTATCTTACGTGAGAACGCTTGAAATCCATTATCTCCGCCAGCTCTACAATCTCCGGACAGAGAGAGATAATAAAGTTCCTGAGAAGGATTAGCGTTACCTTGACACAGCATAGGATCACCCTACTTGACCCTTTGGATCTCATTAGTCGGGGTTCCAAATTCTGTTAACCCGTAAATTAAACTTACCATGGGCTGACGGGCTGATTTCCGCTGATAATCAGATAGTGTATTTCAAGAATATCTACATTTATAGTATGTTAACAATGCCTAGACACCGGTAGGATGCAATCAACCCTCTCTCCATAGCCGCAGAGGCTCACCGGTGGTCATGAACAGCATGTAATTACATAACAGTCCACGACTAAACCCGGGTACCCATAAACAAAGTGCCCAATCACAACAGACTGCTTACGGGATCGCAAAAAAAGATACTGCTCAACCTCTAATTCCCGGAAAACC